TCCAGAATAGAAATATGTGCATATAAAGTGACAATATACAGTAAGATCAAGGCTAAGCAACAATTAATGGCTAATTTAAGTATACACGTGTTTAGGATGTTAATAAGTACGAATCGAGTAATAAAAACAAAGCAAAAAAGTATATAGCCAAATCAGGCATATATGCATGTAAAGTGACAATATTCGACAAGATAATCAGGCTAAGTAAAATTCAATAGCTAATTTAAGTATATGTACTTCTGGGATATTAATATGAATTGAGTAATAAGAAGTACACAGCAAAATAGTGACTAAATAAAGTATATACATGTCTAAAGTAACAATGCAAGCAGGAGATATTGAAAAAGTGCAAGTCGTATCTAAATAAATGCCAGGCAGTAACGATGAGAGCTTTATACCAACATTATACTAAGATAATAATACAGATAGGAGATATTGAAAAAGTACAAGTCATGTCGAAATAAATACCAGGTAGTAATAGTGATAACTTTATACCAACATATATTACTACACTAATACTAATTAAAATCATTCTATTTAAATACGGTGGCATAAGTAAGTTAACGCGGTATATACACGGTCATTGTATAAATAATTACCATATTTGTGTGTGTAATAGTGGGCTGGGGCATTAATTCGAATTTTGACTTTTTGAAAAAATTAGTTATATTATTCGAAATAACGCCCATGCACGTTCCACACTCTACTCTATAATTATTTTATTTAATTTTTAATGATTTACTTCAAGTGATTTCTTATGTTTGTTTAATAAGTAATTTATCATCATCGGTGTTGGTTAATTTTAGTGCGTATAGAATTTCTATTAAGCATGTATGTATATACGTATATGATTTTGAGTTTAAAACCCATTGATAACTTGGCTATTTAATAAGCCTGTAAGTTCGAAAATTTACATTTTGACAAAAACCAAGGCGCATGCATGCTTCAAAATAACGCGCAGAGGGCGTTATTACGGGCAAATATGGTAATGAAAAACAAATATTTAAAGTTTAACTGTAAAATAGAATTCGATAGGATAAAGAATGTATGTATATTTATTTGTGTTTAGTAATTTATATAGTAATAGAATTGTTAACAATTTTTAAAAAATAAGAAAAAAGTAATGCTAACAATTTTTTCAAAAAAAAAAATTTGTTTGAAATAAAAGATGTTTAAAGTGCGGATGAATCAGGAGTATTGTTATTTTGCTTTTGTTTTAATGCATCTTTTGCAAGATCAGTAACTTTTGTATGTTCTTTTGTTCTAAGGTAAGGTTTTGTAGTTATTGTTTTTCTTCTTCTACTGCTTTTGACCCATGTACAATCTTTTGGGTTGTGGTTTCGATACCTGATTCATCAGTTAGAGTTTCAGGTTGGGCTGTAATTTTGGCACTAGATTCACTAGTCAGAGGTGCATTTTGGATTGTAGTTTCAAAGTTTGGTTCATTAGTTGGAGTTTTATTCAGGATCGTGGTTCTAGCACTCAATTCACCAGTTGGGGCTTCATTTAGAAACATGGGTTTAGTGCTCAATTTATTAGCTTTAGATTCAATTAGCCAAGGAAGGTTAGTCAGGGTCTTTAAATTTATACCTGATTTGGTAAAATGGGATTAGCAAAAAAAAAAAAAAAAAAAGGATTAACAAAGAGCTGCTAAACTGTAAAATAGAAGGATAATTATGTAAAAGAAAGTACGGCTTAATGTTTTAACGATAACGTTTTGTTAAGATTACAATGTGAATTAACTATGTATAGTCGTTCCTCATTAATATCAACCCATTAATATAAACCTACGCCATAAAATGAATTTC